CAACGAAATACTTTAGACGGGTAGGGAAAGAAGGAAATCATCTTCACTTAAGCTAATTAAAAGGATAAAACGATGGTACCAAAAATTAATTTTCGGCATAACAACAAAAATTGAATCTGAATTGTAGATTTTAGTTTGAAAAATTTATAGTCATTGATCATGAAAATAATAAAANGAGAATTTTGTTCATGTGCATGCTATGCCCCTAACCTTGGGTCTAATATCCCATGCAATGCAACCTTGTTACTCTGTGTTTCTTTTGGTTGCATCTTCTGGAGTTAGACCCTCATTTGTTTTTCTTGTACATAAATGAAAAATATAAGTACTCTCGTGATAAGGGTATGAAATAGCATTTTTGTAAGGTGTCAAAGATATAACATGCACATCATCTCGGGAAAGCCATCAATGGGAGTTATATAAAACTAGTTATTGAACCGTGAGATACACTGAGTCTCCATTTCCCCTTATTCGAATTTTGATATTATAGAAAATTATTCATTAATGGGTTTTTTTTTTTTTTTGGTAATTTCAAATAAGTAGTTATATCAACAATAATGGTAGGAGTTGTTATGTGACTGCTAATGGTAATAGTTATTTCAGAATCATGTTTTGTACCTATCTAAGTCAAAAATTTTAAAAATTAGAAAACGGGGCCCTCTCCTCACTCTGGATTCTTTTATATAGCAATACTAACAATAGACTTGTACCTAAAGACACTTTGTAACAAAAGTAAAAGACTTATAAATTGATCCTGAAATTTTGTTCTCGTCCATGAATTTCCAAATTTAACACACATATCATCAGAATGTGCAGAGTGGTGGGGCTTTAAATTTATTTGAGGGTAATCGGAAACATTTGTCCTAGAATTGCTAAATTCTTTTCTTTCTTTTTTTGGGTGTAAACCAATCATTACCTCTAATTTTCTGCTCTTATTTGTCGTGGTCACCCTACCGTCTTCGCTTCTTTTTTTAGATTGACATAATCTTGAAGCATGAAATTATAATTACTCTCTGATTTTGTCCCCTGATATTTTTACATATGCGGGTGTAAAATGTGGAAGTGGTTTGAAGTTACAAATAAAAATATATTGGGAAATTTATAGATCAGTCCCACTATATAGAGTTGTTTGGACTTAAGTCTGCAAAAAGAAACTTATTTGTTATGAAATTCGTTTTTTTATAAATTTTACTAAATTATCCCTTCTCTTTAGAAGTAAAATAAAACTAAAAATTAAAAATTCCTAATCTTAGGAATTTGACTAACATTAAAATTTTTGTTATCTCATATCTATCTATATTCATGTATAAGTTATGACTATATCTCTCTCATATATATATATATATATATATATATATAATGGTATTATTTTCTATGTCTAAATGATAACTTTTTTTTTGTATTTGAATGTTACTATTTTTTATTTTTTATATTACTATATATATAATAGTAACATGTTCAACAAAAATAGTATCATGTTCAACAAAAATGGTGACATGCTTAACAAAAATAATAACATGCTTAACAATAATTACCTCTCTCAAATTCAAACGCAAAAAATAGTACCGTTCAAACACAAAAATATAGTAATATTCAAAAACAAAAACAAAATAGTAACATTGAATAATTAATATATAAGAAAATAATAGTAGTAACATGCTCAACAAAAATAGTAACATAATCAAAATTATAATAACATGAACAGTAACATACTCAACAAAAAATAATAACATGAACAGTAATATAATAAAAAAAATAGTAACATGAAATATTCAAGCTCAAAAAATAATAATATTTTAAAAAAACATGTAACATATAATCGGCATGATTGTAGATAGACAAGAAAAGAGTAACCACAAAAAATAGTAAACACGACGATGACGTCGCCATAATGCATATCAGAGGCGGAGATTGCGGTTGAGTAATAATGAAGTGATAGAGGCTCGGAATTTTGGAATTTTTAGAGAGATGAATGTGAGATTAAGACTCTAAAAAGTTTATGGATAGGTCCAAAGAGAAGGCAGTCCTCTTGACCAGGTGTGATGCGCGATGGTTGTGGTGGACGCCATATGAGATGGATTGGATTTTTGAGGAGAGAAGTTTGAAATTGATGAAATAGTTTTGTCGATGGAGGAGAGAGAAGATATCGAATAAGCCATGGAGTAGAGAGACGAACGGAGATGGCGATGTCACCGAACAGAGGGAGAGAGAGAGAAAGAGAAGTTTGAATTTGAATTTTAAAATTATGATAAAGATTTTATTGGCATATTTTAATTGATATTGAATTAAGGGATAACAATTTTCAAGATAGAAAATTAATTTAACCTCTTTTCAAGGAAGGGTATTTTTGGAATTTAAAAAAAATAGTAGACTTAAATACTTATTAGTAAGATAAAAAATGGACTTATCACCAAATAAGTTTCCTTAATAGACTCAAGTTATTATAAGTCCATTCAAGAAGATTCAGCCCCAATTTTCACAAATATATTTTGGTGGAATCATCTAAACATGAATCTCTTTGATTTTATACTTGGTCATTGTAAATAGGACGTAAGAGCAACTCCCATTTCGGGGTGCCAAATCAAGCATTTGTAACCTTGAACAGTATTTTGACATCTCTGAATTATAAATCTACTTCAATGGCAGGTGCCAAAATAGGGTGTCATTTTAATATTTTAATATTTTTTATTAAAAAATATAATTAAACTTAATGGTTATATTTTAACGGGTATAATTTTCATAACGATCGCAATTTAATGAATATATTTTTATAGTAAAAATTTCAAATTTCAAATTCAAATTTTAAATTTCAAATTTTGTCGTCGAAATTCAAATTTCAAAATTCAACTATTAAAACTCAAATTTGAAAATTTAACCGCCAAAATAAAAATTCAAAAAAGTATAATTCATCTATAAATATGATCTTTTTTCTCATGTTTTTATCCATCTATATTACATTCTCTCTCCAAATTTAATATCTCCTTTCTCTTTGACTATATATTCTTTCATATTTTCATTCATCAATCTATATAAATCGTTATCCTAATATTTTAAGAGAGATCCTCAAAATTGAGGAAGAGGATAATAATAAATTGGATATGTTGTATGTTGCAACTAGAAGGGTTTAGTCAAGGACAGATAAGAAGGTATTGCAGTTTCGTTCTAGGCCACAGAATAGTTAATCGTGGTAGAATTATAGGTCACGAAAGACTCTACCGTGACTATTTTGCTATCCCTTATGTATATGAAGGTTTTTTCCGAATGAGTCATCCTCTTTTTTTTCAAATTGTAAATGAGGTTAAAGAACACGATCCATAGTTCATCCAAACAACAAATGTCGTTGGAGTTCTCGGTTTGCTTCTCTTTGTTTTTAAGTTGTTTCTTCGAAGCCTTTCTGCCCAATGGCCTATCAAGGTTGGGAGTGGACGAGAGTTCAGTGTCATCCCCTAAATATGGAGTTAAATAGCAATATTCAACATGATTTGATTCAACAAGACTACCAATTGAATGAGTTTTTGATCTTTTATTGCTAGTGAGATTATAGTCCATTTCTGCTTCATTTTCAATATATTCCAACAATGCTCGTATTGAAATGATCTTCTAATGATCTTAGCAAACATTTTTTTTGCTTCATCAACCTGAAAAATATATAAAATCATTTAGACTATAATTCAAATATCAGATCATAGTAGTGTCTATCTAAAAAAACTCAATCAGTACATTATTTTACTCAGTGTGTCCACTTTGTCGCAGTCTTTCAATTTAATTATAAAAATCAAAAAATTTGTCGCATTTAATAGAAGCTTCTGAACGCTCTTCTTGATTCCCTCCATGAAGTTTTAAGTATTTCAATATTCTTTGTCAGAAAGCACCACCTTATTGTTCATTCTCAATAATTACATATTTACTCGTGTTAAGCTATGCAGACACAATTAAACAGTAAAATTTGTAATCCTCTCTATTTCTCTCTCCAGAGTTGCCAAAAATGTCACCTCAGGACCCTTGATGCCATTTTGCAATCCCTTATGCCACCCTTATTGGAGTCCAAATTTTGAATTTGGGGTGGCATTTTAGTGGTTATAGGTATACCACCCCTCCCTTTGGAGTTGCTCTGAGAGAAAAGGAGAAGCATATCTACGAGATGAGTATGAAATATTCAAANACTCCCTTTGGAGTTGCTCTGAGAGAAAAGGAGAAGCATATCTACGAGATGAGTATGAAATATTCAAAATCACATGATTTAAGGGATTAAAACTCTTTGGGTGGCAGTTGGGGTGTTCAAATTTCAAATTTTAGTCCTATAAAAGGCAACCAACTACAATCAAGATTCATTTGTTAGAACGAGCGAAACCATTTTTTGTCACCATCTTCGATGGCATTCCTTTTTCGACACACCACCCAAGACAACCTTTTCTCTCTGAATCCACCTCAAATCTACTTAACCCCTTCTTCTCCTTGCAAGATTTTGGGGAATGGTGGTGAAATCTAGGGGTTGGCGGTGGATTTTTCCTCTTCACAGATCTCCAGCCATTTATTCTCTATTTTCAAATTATGTTCACCATCACCCTCATCTCTCCTCCCTTAGTACTCCTAACCTCTTTTTCTTTTTCTTTTTTTCATTTTCTGCTATTTTATCTACTGTTCAATAGAATGGACCTTGTGACTATTGAAACAGGGCCTACTAAGTTCCNCTTTTTCTTTTTTTCATTTTCTGCTATTTTACCTACTGTTCAATAGAATGGACCTTGTGACTATTGAAACAGGGCCTACTAAGTTCCTTGAACTAAGAGGTATTGAGCCTCCTATTCAATGTAATTAACAATGTTACCTTGGGTATCTATGTAGGCGATTTTAGCACAAATGAGGCAAATCGAGGCTCAGATGACTTGAATGTGAACACAACTGTTGAGTTTGTTAATGTGGAAAGTTAATGAGAAGGCAGAGGGTGTAGCTATTGGCATATCCTCTAAAAGGAAGCTAGTGAAGGAATAAATGTTGCTGATATGCAAAGTCAGTATCTCAAATTGATTGTTCAGAATGATTATTGAAAAAACTGGTGGAGATTCAAAATAAGCAAAAAGACCTAGGGAACCAGCCGCTTAAAAGAGGATTTGTGAATTCTAGATGGGGAAGTGGTGGTGCTTTTGGGCGATCCCAAAAATGGCAAAGGAATAGGTCCAAGTTCCTCCACNTGGTGGAGATTCAAAATAAGCAAAAAGACCTAGGGAACCAGCCGCTTAAAAGAGGATTTGTGAATTCTAGATGGGGAAGTGATGGTGCTTTTGGGCGATCCCAAAAATGGCAAAGGAATAGGTCCAAGTTCCTCCACTACTGCGGAGATTCCTAGTGGTCAAGGGATTAAGATGAATGGACGTATTGTTCTCACTCAAGCTACAAGAAGCAAGGCGACTCAACCTAATGGCATTGTTCAAGCGGCTCAAACAGGTAAGAATTTTGTTAACCAATTCCTTTCTCAAAGGACCTTAAAGATTCTTGGGCTAATAAAGTTAGAGCTGATCCTAGGTCTAATNACTACTGCGGAGATTCCTAGTGGTCAAGGGATTAAGATGAATGGACGTATTGTTCTCGCTCAAGCTACAAGAAGCAAGGCGACTCAACCTGATGGCATTGTTCAAGCGGCTCAAACAGGTAAGAATTTTGTGAACCAATTCCTTTCTCAAAGGACCTTAAAGATTCTTGGGCTAATAAAGTTAGAGCTGATCCTAGGTCTAATGTAGAAATGAAAGTTTAGGCCCCAAATTTTCTAAATGGAATAGTAGTTGTAAGACCACCCAAGGAAGTTGCCCTTGAATGAAGCTCCAAATGGGAAACTAGCTTAGTAGGGCACTTCATTGGGAGAAAATTGCCTTTCCAACTTGTTCGGGCATCGGCAATGAGGATGTGAGGGAGCTAAGGGTTTGTTTGATATGGTTTCTAAAGAAGAAGGGTTCTTTTTCTTTAGATTCTCAAGTACTAATAACAAAAATGAGATGCTTGAGGGAGAACTAGGGGTGTTCACCCTACCCTACGAATAAAAAATATAGTCTTCCGTCTTCCTACTTCCTACTCGATATTTTGTCGAAAATTTTTTTTTTTACCTACCCTACCCAATCAGGTGTAGTATTCCTACCCAATCGGGTANTGCCCTTGAATGAAGCTCCAAATGGGAAACTAGCTTAGTAGGGCACTTCATTGGGAGGAAATTGCCTTTCCAACTTGTTCGGGCATCGACAATGAGGATGTGAGGGAGCTAAGGGTTTGTTTGATATGGTTTCTAAAGAAGAAGGGTTCTTTTTCTTTAGATTCTCAAGTACTAGTAACAAAAATGAGATGCTTGAGGGAGAACTAGGGGTGTTCACCCTACCCTACGAATAAGAAATATAGAATTCCGTCTTCCTACTTCCTACTCGATATTTTGTCGAAATTTTTTTTTTTACCTACCCTACCCAATCGGGTAAGAAGTCGGGTAAACACTTTTGTAACTATTAATTTTTGGATCATTTTAACAATTTAATTAAATAACATACACCAACTTAACAACACAATAAATCAATAGCACTAAAATCTAAAACAACTACAACAACAATTACAGTAAAACACAAGAAANCCTACCCAATCGGGTAAGAAGTCGGGTAAACACTTTTGTAACTATTAATTTTTGGATCATTTTAACAATTTAATTAAATAACATACACCAACTTAACAACACAATAAATCAATAGCACTAAAACCTAAAACAACTACAACAACAATTACAGTAAAACACAAGAAAGCACGAATATCAATCTATCATAATTGTTACACAAATACAATAACAATTATTTTAAGTTTAAACCATACGAAACACATTAAAATCATAACTACTTTAATAGATCATCAGTTTACCACAAATCATGTAACCTACACAAAAAACAAGTCTATATTTTAGCAACTCAAATATCCATAACAATAACAATATTATAATATAAATTATACCACACAAATACTCTTATAATTACTAAAAAAATTAAATATATTTTTTACGGGGAAGGTATGGTAGGAATGCGAAAATTGATAGGTATTTCACATTCCNTTTTAGCAACTCAAATATCCATAACAATAACAATATTATAATATAAATTATACCACATAAATACTCTTATAATTACTAAAAAAATTAAATATATTTTTTACGGGTAAGGTATGGTAGGAATGCGAAAATTGATAGGTATTTCACATTCCTACCCAATTTAATCGGAAGACTAAAAACTCTTCCACATTCCTACCCGATTTTTATGGTTAACCGTTCAATAGAGTAGGATCGGGTCGGATAGAAAATTGCAGTCAATCAGAATTTGAACACCCCTAGGGAGAACCTTGGTATATAGGAGGTCAACCTATTTTATTAGGAAAATGACAACCCAGTCTAAAGCTTATTATGAAAGCCCCAAGGCAAGATAGCTATCTAGGAAAAATTCTACAATATACATAATGAATACTGAACTGCTCTGGGTTTGAGCTATGTTGCAAGTGCGACAAGTAAGGCATGGTATATGGATAAGGTCACAAGGAGGGAAATTGAACTAATTTTTCTAGAATTTGTGTGAAAGTCAGTGTAGAAGGCCCATTATTGGAGTCCATTGATCTGCAAATGCAAGAGGGGCAGGAAGAGGATATTGTCACTATTGAAATCAAGATTAAGTATCAATGGTGACTGCTAGGTGTGATCAATGCAAAATCTGCGACCTGCTAGGTGTGATCAATGCAAAATCTTAGGCCTNAGGGGCAGGAAGAGGATATTGTCACTATTGAAATCAAGATTAAGTATCAATGGTGACAGCTAGGTGTGATTAATGCAAAATCTGCGACCTGCTAGGTGTGATCAATGCAAAATCTTAGGCCTTAGCAGCCTGGAGGTCTAGTTGTTGTTCAAATAAGGATCAAGCGGAGATTGTTAATCAATTGCGAGTAGGCATGTGACACCCCCGTATTCCCAAGTGCCACTTAACCACTAATTAAACCACGAATTACCTTGATATACTTGCTATACTCCGATACTATGCTGTGACACCACTAAATCCAGGGGTCTTTTTTCAATGAAATCAGGGAGAATTCTCCTTGGTACGAGGAGCCCCCAACACACAACCTGTACATATATTACTCCTATGACCTTGCCAATGTCCAACATCAATATCCAAGCATTGTATACTTTGAATATCAACTTATTACCATCATCATACAACATACATTCATTCCCAAGAGCATATATGTACATAAGTCTCAATTATATGCCTTTAAAATGAAATAATATGNTATATTACTCCTATGACCTTGCCAATGTCCAACATCAATATCCAAGCATTGTATACTTTGAATATCAACTTATTACCATCACCATACAACATACATTCATTCCCAAGAGCATATATGTACATAAGTCTCAATTATATGCCTTTAAAATGAAATAATATGCAAGGTTTGTTTTACAAAATATACAAGGAAAAAGTAAATGAAGTGGGACTTAACAACTCAAAATGAAAGCTACATTTCGGCTTCGTCCTCAAAGTGGGCCTAAGTGAGGGCCATCAGTGAAAGCACGTCCTGTACCTGAAATATATCCCTATAAACGATGAGTCAACGCTCAATAGGATATCTCCGTNCATTTCGGCTTCGTCCTCAAAGTGGGCCTAAGTGAGGGCCATCAGTGAAAGCACGTCATGTACCTGAAATATATCCCTATAAACGGTGAGCCAACGCTCAATAGGATATCTCCGATGGAGATCACCTCTCAACCCATATGCATATGAAATGTCATGCAATTATAAATATTTCCTAGCATTTAATTCACATATATAAAAATGAACAATGCTACTAATCCAGTCATGCCATAAAGTGTAAATCTATGCATACAATGTCATGAGATTGAATCTTGGCATTTCAAGCCTCCGCTATTGATATTAAACATTCAATGACTATTTAATTAATTTTGTGTCTTTTTGGGGTGGCAATTTATGGTCTTTTACCAATGGGACACCACACCATCAACGGATCTTTAGGACATTCCACATACGACTTTGTTTTCGCCATCACAATTTTATGGGCTCATTACACCAACGGAAAGCATGTAACCGACATTGTTAGGTCTTACACTCGAGGGAGAATCTAGCATTTCTTGCTACACCCCGACACGTTTATTTATGTAATTCTAATACGACTCACTCAGACCAAAGTCCAACCTTCCCGAGCCAACCCATCAACTCACCTAGGTGGTGATTGACCCAAACCCCAACATACACACTCACACTCATGTCAATACCCAGAAATGTAGTGCAACATGTACATATGCAAATATAGTATACAATTGCAATTCCATTTCATCATAATGTTAATTATATCATGAAAGTATAGAATAACATTTCATAAATTTCACCAAGCATGTTATATATGATCATTCTCCAAATAACATATTTACATTTACCTAAGCATTTATCAAAACACTTAGTGGGCATAAAAATTAAATACATAGCAGACCCAAATAATCTATTTCATCAAACCAAACATCTTCCTACCGATAGGTTGTGCCTATCCTACTGATAGGTTCATATTTTCGCAACCAAACCTAATTCAAGTAAGATAAGAGTTCAACAAATCCTCATATGGAACCATAACCCAGTAGTTACACTAGTCAAGAGATAAAACAAGGGATTCACACACCCATAGTCCTACTCATTTAATATACAAGCCCTAGGTTGAAAGTAAACCTAAATAAAAGGGAACCGTACCTCTTGTAAAGTGAATAAGGAAGAGAAATCCTTAGGAATGCCCAAAACAAGCCTCTACAAGCCCCCCTTAAACTCTAGCCCCAACTNAGAGAAATCCTTAGGAATGCCCAAAACAAGCCTCTACAAGCCCCCCTTAAACTCTAGCCCCAACTGTTAATTTCCTAAATTTGTGAAATATGGACGAAATTGGTGTTGACAATAGCCCTTGTCAAGTAAAGCGACTTTTGTTCTTGCCGTTTGATGATCCCACAGTTGGATCTTGCAAGATTTGAAGAATGAGAAGAGTTGAAGAAGTGGAGCTTTTTCTCTCTTTTTTTCTCAACCTTTTTCATCCAAGAAAGAATGGGTGGAAGACTTGGAGCCTATTTAGTTTGTGTCTCATAAAATAGTATCCGAAAACTGTTTTTAGGGAAAAATTTTGAAAACTAGTTTTGGTGTTTTTTTGTGACACAAAACTTGTTTGGTTATATATTTCTAAAAATAGTTGTGCAAAACAAAAAACGAAAAATCTGTTTAGACATGCACATAACAAGAGATGCAAACTGGGCCTGTAATATTTTAAAATAATAAACTTGATAAAAAAAATCTAGCCATTGATTGAACTACATTGCCAGAGCTTTGCCAGAGTAGACAAACTCATCGACTAAACTAAGAACACAAATCCAAAATCCAAAACCCAAAATTGAAGATCCATTCAAGATTAAACATACACAGCCTTTGGTACACGACGGAGAAGATGAACCCAGTTGCCGAAAAAGAATCCTTTCGTCGGAGAACCCTCAGTCAATGGAGAAAATGATGAACCCATTTCCCGGAGAAGAACCCTTTGGCCAGAGAAGACCCAAATCTGAAAAAAAAAATACTCAGATCTGAAAAAAAATACTCAAATCTTAAAAAAAAACCTTGATTTGAAGATCTCAGTCATCGAAGAGCCCTCAATCGACGAAGAAGAAGATCTTCAATCACCGAAGAACACT